GGGTGGATTCCATATGAGTGGCAAACTTGGGCGGATAATATCGTTCCAAGTGTGATTAAACTCACGGTGTGAAGCGCGACATTCGAGTAGGTAGAGCGTTGGCTTGCGTAAAACGCCTCCTTCCTATGCGAGTTCGAATCCGCCGAATGCCGCGAGTTTTTTTCACAAGTGGGTCAACTAAATTAACTATATGTTTGCCAGCGTGCATTCTTATTCGATACTTTATGTCTACTGCACATTTCGTTGTGGTTTCAGTGTATGCGGTAGCCGATAATATGCTGTCTCATAAAATGCCAACAGAAAGTTCGAACTGCGTTTTGGAGGAAAATGATTTTTTTATATTAAGTACTGTTCAGCCTAATCGCGAGGGTCTTCTTTTATGTTGGCTTTCAGAGCGTTTTAGCACACTACCTGAAAAACCTTTGCTCCAGAATTATTAACCCGATTAGTATAATTGCCTTCGTCTTTTGACGAAGGGGTTAATATGGGGCTTATATAATTTTACAGAGAATATATAACCAATACTCAAAGTAACATGTAGAAATAAAGAGAATCGGCGCTCCATGCAGATCATTTTAAGTGCGTGCATAATTTTATGATAAGAAACGTTTCTGAAACAGAATACTTCCCTTCTATACGCATAAGGTTAGAAGGAAGCGTACTGCTGGGCGAAGGGAGAACGTGAAAAAATATTTTCTATGCATTTTATTGATATAATGTTCCTGAGTTTAGATTAGCATTGAACAAAGAAGCTGTTACGAAACCCGGTACACACAAAGGGATGATGTTTTTTAATAATCGGTTTGGCAAATCTGTCGGAGTTAAACTAGATATTAATTAATACAAAATTTAATGGATCCATAACATTTCGGAAGTGCTCGTCAGTTGCATCCACTCCAATGCGTTGAAGGGTAAAGAATGAATAAATACAAAATTGAATTGGTACAGAACGGTCACAGGTCATAGTCACTACGGCTAATTAGTAAAGAAGGAAGGTTAAAACAAAGTGGAGGAGAAACAAGGGAAAAAATGGGCTCCTGGAAAAAGGGGGCAGTGGAATGTGCAAATCTGGGGGCCTGTTGTTACCAAGGCAAGGCTAGGTTAACAACATGCTCCAACTGTTTGCATAGGTCCGGTTTAAAGCGTCTTATAAAAGCTGCCTCCAGGTAGCGCATGATTCGAGATGCTCGTGCTCGAACAAGAACTCGGAATGAGGTTATAGAGTCTACAGAATGAGCCGTATCCAGCAAGTGTTCCGTAATGGAGGAACGACTGATCGGTTTTCCTGCTTGAATAACCAATTAGGCGGGTGTTCCGTGGCTTTGGCTGCCAATTGCCTTTGCGTTCGCCCTATGTACTTGCCTCCGCAAGTGCA